TGCGTGGGCGAAACGCAGGGGGCAAGGGCTATGCTGGGCGGTGGCGGACGCACGCGGGCGGCGCCACTGGCACCTTCGGTGGGCCCCCCCCCATGGGGCCACGACGCGCTGTACTGCGTGGGCGAAACGCAGGGAGCAAGGGCTGTTTTGGGCGGTGGCGGACGCATGCGGGCTGCGCCACTGGGACCTTCGGTGGGTCCCCCTATAGGGCCACGAAGCGTTGTAATGGGTGGGTGAAACGAAAAAAACGATGGCTGTATTGGGCGGTGGCGGACGCATGCGGGCACACCCACTGGGACCTTCGGTGGAGCTCCCTATGAGCCACGAAACGTTTGAGGGTGTGCCGAAATGTGTATGCGGGACGCATGCGGGCACACCCAATGAGACCTTCGGTGGAGCTCCCTATGGGGCCACGAAACGTGCGAGGGGTGTGCCGACATGTGTGTGCGGGGCGCATGCTGGCACATCCTCTGGGGCCTTCGGTGGAGCTCCCGATGGGGCAACGAAGCGCGTGAGGGGTGTGCCGAAATGTGTGTGCGGGACGCATGCGGGCACGCCCACTGAGACCTTCGGTAGAACCCCCCATGGGGCCACGAAGCGTGCGAGGGGAGTGCCGAAATGGGTGTGCGGGACGCAAGCGAGCACGCCCACTTTGACTTTCGGTGGAGCTCCCTATGGGGCCACGAAGCGTGTGAGGGGTGTGCCGAAATGGGCGTGCGGGACGCATGCGGACGCACCCATTGGAACCTTCGGTGGAACTCCCTATGGGGCCGCGAAACGTGCGAGGGGTGTGCCGAAATGGGTGTGCGGGGCGCATGCGGGCACGCCCACTGGGACCTTCGGTGGGGCCCCCTAGTGGCCACGAAACGTGCGAGGGGTGTGCCGAAATGGGTGTGCGGGACGCATGCGGGCACGCCCACTGAGACCTTCTGTGGAGCTCCCCATGGGGCCACGAAGCTGCGCCGAAATGAGTGCGCGGGGCGCATGTTGGCACATCCACTGGGGCCTTCGGTGGGGCTCCCTATGGGGCCACGAAGCGTGTGAGGGGTGTGCCGAAATGGGTGTGCGGGACGCATGCGGGCACACCCATGGGGACCTTCGGTGGGGGCTCCCTATGGGGCCACGAAGCGTGTGAGGGGTGTGCCGAAATGGGTGTGCGGGACGCATGTGGGCACACCCACTGGGACCTCCGGCGGGGCCCCCCATGGGGCCACGAAGCGTGCGAGGGGTGCGCCGACATGGGCGTGCGGGACGCATGCGGGCATACCAACTGGGACTTTCGGTGGGGCCCCCTATGTGGCCACGAAACGTGTGAGGTGTGTGTGTGTGTGTTTGCCGAAATGGGCGTGCGGGTCGCATGCGGGCAGGCCCGCTGCGATCGGTGGAGCAACCCATGGGGCCACGAAGCGTGTGAGGGGTGTGCCGTGTGCGGGACGCATGCGGGCGCGCCCACTCGGACCTTCGGTGGAGCTCCCTGCGGGGCCACGGAACGTAAGAGGGGTGTGCAGAAATGGGCGTGCGGGACGCATGCGGGCACGCATACTTGGACCTTCGGTGGACCTCCCGATGGTGCCGCGAAACGTGCGAGGGTGTGCCGAAATGGGTGCGCGGAACGCATGCGGGCACACCCATTGGGGCTTTCGGTTGGGCCCCCTATGGGGCCACGAGACGTGCGAGGGGTGCGCCGAATTGGGTGTGCGGGACGCATGCGGGCGGCAGCGCAGGGACCTTCGGTGGGGCTCCCTATGGGGCCGCGAAACGTGTGAGGGGTGTGCCGAAGTGGGTGATGATGATGATGTTGGTGATACTGACGATGATGATCATGATGAGGAGGAGGGTGATGGTGCCGATGATGATGATGGTGATGATGTTGGTGATACTGACGATGGTGATGATGATGATGCTGATGGCGATGATGATGGGAGGAGGGAACAGAGGAGGAGGAGGAGGCAGCGGGGGGAAGGGGGGGCGCGGGGCGCTGTCTCTTCAAAACGAAGACCCAAAACAACAGGATGGCTGGGAACAACGACAACGACAACAACCATAACCACAACACCAAACAACAACAACAACAACAACAGCAACAACAACAACAATAAGAACAACAAAAACAACAACAAAAACAACAACAACACAAACAACGCAGACGACAACGAGAAGGACGCGGACGATGACGACGGACACCACGGACTATAGCGACCGCGACAATGCCGATGACGACGACGACGGCGGCGGGAAGGACGACGGCGAGGACGACGTTCACGACAACGACGACGACAACGACAAAAACGACCCCGAAGACGACAACAAAACCGACGACGACGATAACAACAACGACTACGACAACAACCACGACAACAACGACGACGAACCCCAAGAATCACCCAAGGTGGCCCTTGGACAACTCAGAAAATTCCCCCGCGCGGCCCACCCGAGCACCAGGGGGGCTCCAGAGGCACCCACCACGGCCCAACCAACCGCCTCAGACGCTGCAGGAGCGGAGCCCGCGAGGGACCACAACAAAGGCGGTTCCCCTGGAACGGGCCCCAGGCCATTATGAACGCCCACCGCAGACGTCTCCAATCTGGATCCTGCGGCCCGCAACGCGACCCTCGAACAAAAACATTGGGCCCCGGGGGGCCCCCGACGAACCTCGGGAATGCCGCCGAAATCTCTCGAAGCACCCGCGGGCGCTTTCAAACGCCATCGCGCCTCTGAGACGCGACGCAAACACGGGGGCGGGCGGAGCTCGCTGAAAGCTGCGGGATACGTGAGAGCGCCAGACTTGCACTCCACGGCGGGAGTGCCGAGGATCGCCACGGAGCCAGCGTCGCCCCAACTGTAGAACCACTGCTCGTCGCCCTTCTTCCTCAGGAGGAGTCTACCCGATCGCGCCAGAGAGCACCGCCAAGCACGTTCGAAGAGAGCTGGAGCGTTCCGTGCCATGAGCTGCCTCGTCACCTCCAGGTCCACGCTGGCCACGCCCAAATTCGCGACCCCAGGGGAGTGCCACGGCGGTGACTGGGTGAAACCACTCACGCCCTTGAGGTTCACACGCTTGCCAGCCCCATGCGCCGAAGGCTGGAACAGATGTTTGGGCAGTCGGCTCCGCAACCTCATGCGACCTGCCCTGTTCCCATCGATTTCCTTGTACTTGTGCACTGTGCTGAGGACTTTTTTCTTGATGAGCGCAGACCAAATCGCCTCGTGAGCGGGTGGCGCCCCGTGACCTCTCCGCTTCATCTGCCCCATGTCCGTCCCTATGCATCGTGGTCCTCCCTCCTCCTCCGATTCCTGTCTTCCCCTCTCTTCCCCAGCCTCCCTCCCTCCCTCCCGCTTCCTTCGTTCATCATCCTGCCCCCCTCCCTTTCCCGCCCTCGTCGCCCATCGCCTTTCTTCCTCCACCTCCTCCCACTACCCCCCGCTCCATTCAATTCCTCATAGTGCCTCCTTATGCTCCTCCTTCCCAGCCACCCTATTCGCGACCCTGCCTCCCCCCATTCCCTCCTCCCCCATCCCGTCTCCTCCCTCTTTTTCCTTCTTCCCCTGCCCACCCCGTCCGTCATTGCCTCTTCTCCCCGCCTCTGTTGTTATGTTGTTTCTCCTTCCACTCCCCCTCCTCCCCCTCGCACTCTCCTCTGACGGCACCCCTTGCCATTCCCTCCTCAGCCCCCCTCTATCCCTCCTCCTCCATGCCCCCCCTCCCCCACCCACCCACCCTTCTCCCACCCTCCTCCGTGCGTCCTCCCCCGTGTCTTTCCCATTGACCTCTCCCTGCCTCCATTCACCTCCACCCCCTCTCTACCTCCCATCCTCAACCTCTCCCTTCTTCTCCTCTCACCCATCTTGCTCATCCTCTCTCCTGTTCTTCGTCCCCCTCAGCTTCAACCCCCTCCTCCTCCTCCACGGTCTCTTCCTGCTCCGCGCCCTGCCCCCTCCCTCCCTCATCGCCCCCCTCCGCTCTTCTCCCCGTCCTACGTCGGCCCCTCCGTCCCTCCTCCTCCTCCTCGGCGCCTTCTCCGCCGCCCCTCCCCCGCCCCTCTTGGACGCCCCGTCGCCCTATTCCATGCTCGCCGTCATTGCCCCTTCCTGTCGCCGACTCTGCGCCGCCAGCCGCGCCCCCTCACGGGCAGGCGCGGCGGGCCACGGAGGCGGAACGCGATGGACCCACGAACCCGAAAAGGGATACATAACCGAATGCATGGAAACGTTTTCACGACACCGCATTGGGCGACGGGCACTTCCACGAGACACCCCGCGAAACATTCCACGAAACACGGGTGACCGTTTTCAACGTGGTCCTGGAAAGATTCCACGAGACACCCCGCGAAACAGTCCACTAGACACCCCACGGAACATCCCTCGACGACAAGCAACCACTCAACCAAGGCGGTGTGGTCGTGCTGGGGGGTGGTCGTGCTGGGGCGTGGTCGTGCTGGGGGCTGGTCGTGCTGGGGGGTGGCCGTGCTGGGGGGGGGTAGTCGTGCTGGGGGGTGGTCGTGCTGGGGCGTTGTCGTGCTGGGGCGTGGTCGTGCTGGGGCGTGGTCGTGCTGGGGTGTGGTCGTGCTGTGGTGAGGTCGTGCTGGGGTGTGGTCGTGCTGGGTGATGGTCATGCTGGGGTGGGGTCGTGCTGGGGTGGGGCAATGCTCGGCGAGCAACGACAGGGACTGAGAAGGAGACGAGGAGGGGTACTCGGGGCGCCACCCACCCTTTCGAGACAAGCAGCTCTCCGCTCTGGAAAGTACGTTCGACTTGGCACGCTCCTCCAAGCGACGGGACCTGTTCCCCGCGTCTTCGCACGCCAGAGACATGATGGGCACATCGGACCTCCTGCAAAAGGTAATCTGCGCGCCGAGGCCGCCCCGCTGAAACGCCGATTACTGCGCGAGGCACTCCGGAACCCCGCAAGGGTTCAGGCAGGGCCCCTCGGAGGCCCAACGATAACCTCCCGCGCCTCCAGGGCGCCTCGGGGTCCCAATGGGGGCGGTCCCAGCGCGCACATTGCCCCGCTGAGCTCTTGCGGAGGTACGACGTCCACTTCGGGTGCGTGTGCGACCACTCGGACGCCTCCAGCACCCTGACCATCTGCTTCCCTGGGAGGCTCTGGAAGACGGAACGTTTGATGATCTTCTCAACTGCGGGGTCCTCGAGGCCCTTCAGCTGCTTGAAGTAGTCGTAGTCGACCTTGATCTCGCGAACGATCGCCTCTGAGTGGTCTGGGTCCAGGCCGAGCGCCGTGCGTTTGGGCCACCCTCGCAGCGTCGGGAGACGACGCTTCAGCCTGTGGAAGCAGAGCGAGTTGCAGAATACGCCGAGGGTGTTTGCCATCTCGTCGTTCCACTTCACGAGGGGGTGGTCCAGGTCGATGCCAGGCACGAACTCGTCGAAGGACGTGGTGAGCCCAACACGCGCGAGCTTCCTCTTGTCGTATAACGTCCCGAGGGTGTCCATGATGGGGTCCCAGATCGCCCCTTTCAGCTCATCGATGCGATACTTCCTGCATCCAGCGATCGTGCGGCACTCCCTGGATGCGTGGAAAGACGCGTCGGCAAAGGGGCCGCCGCCTTCCATGATGATCCGCTGCTTGAACTTGTGATCTGTCGACGAAAACACCAAGCAAGCGATCTCAAACCTGTTTGTGGTAGCTTCTCTCATCGCTGTCACGGGCGCATTCGCCGCCTGCTTGGTAGTCATGGGGGCCCCAGAAGGCTTCACAGAAGCAGCTCCGCCCATGATGGCAAGTTTCTTTGGGCTCAACCTCCCCATCTCCAAGCACGCGTATGTAAAGCCCAACGCCCTCATGGTGAGATTGGGCTCCTGTCCGCGCGCGGATGACGCTGTCCTGGAATATGGCAGGCGAGACGGGATCCCCCCTGTTGCGCCAGGTGCTGGCCTCCATCATGCGGTCCCAGAACTCCTTAGCAATACCATCCTCGTTCGCTCTGTGGGCCTCGCCTGCCTCCTCCAGAATGTCTGGCAGGCGCGCAAGGAACAATGGGCAGGTGTCCGCGTCGGCGTGCCTCCTGTACTCGCCCATCGCGTCCATGAGCGTTTGATGGTTGGTTGCCTCTTCCCAAGGGCCCTGATGGGCGTTCCTGGCGATGTCGACGAGCTTCTGGTGGCCCCACAAGCCTGCTGACTGGACTGATAGGTCCAAGTCGTTCTGGTGCCCGTGTAAGATGTCATCCAGGAGTTCGAGGTTGATGCGCCCAGGGCCGAACTTGCAATAGTTCTCAGCACAGATGCACTCCGCTGCCTGCGGTGGGAAAAAAGGCTCAACCAAAACCGCGCCTCCCCCGCGGCGCGGGGCGGCGGCCCCCTGGATTCGATCCAGCTCCACGCCACTATTTCGAAGGCAGGGGTCGAGGGCTTCGGCCGAAACGCTGTGCAGAAAGAGGGCCGTCTGAAGTTTCCAGGGGCGGCGCGCCCCGGGAAACCCTCGCCTGGCGGCGGTCCTGGGGAAGGGCCGTGTCGACGACTGGACGAAGCCCGAAAAACTGGTCAAGACGGCGTCGCTGACGAAGGCCAGCTCTAGGATAAACCCTTGTTACTTGGGGAAACATGAATGCAACCTGGGGGGGTGAGGTGAACAAATCGGAACGACAACGGACAGGTTGCCACGCGGATGCTCAAGCGAGGGAGGGGGCACCATTTTGTTAACCCCCCTATTTGCTGGGCATGGTCACGCAGGGCGCCCCGAGAAACAAAAACACAACTCGCATCGCGTCGTTTGACCTGGAGCTCTGACGGGATGTACACGGGGCCTCCCCGTCGTCATTTCGGATGTCCTGCAGCCCGCCCGCAACCCGCCTGCAACCCGCCTGCCGCCCGAGAAGCCCTGGGAAGGCCCAAGACGACCCCAACAAAACACCCGCATCATCTCCGACCAACGCGGACCCTGGAAAGTCGTTTTGTTTGCGGCGTCTTCGTCAGGCCACCTTGGATTATTCCGAGAGGGATCGAAGATGGCCTGGCTGAGGCCTTCCATTTGAGCGCGGGCCTGGTCGGACGCAACCTGCAAAAGCGGCCACTCCTGGTCGGCCGCCGCGGCGGCTTCCACCCCCTCGCCGATGTGAAACGCCTCCAGGCCTTTGCCCTGGGCGACCCGCAAAGAGTTGTCTAGCGCCAACAACCACTCGTACGAGTTCTTCCGATACCGCTGCAGAAATGCGCGTGTGAGGTGCACGCGGGCACACCCACTGGGACCTTCGGTGGGGCCCCCTATGGGGCCACGAATTCTGTGAGGGGTGTGCCGAAAGATGGGTGTGCGGGACGCGTGCGGGCACGCCCGCTGGGACTGTCGGTGGGGCCCCCATATGGGGCCGCGAAGCGTGCGAGGGGTGTGCCAACAGGAGTGTGCGGGACGCATGCGGGCACACCCATTGGGACCTTCGGCGGGGCCCCCTACGGGGCCACGAAACGTGCGAGGGGTGCGCCGACATGGGTGTGCGGGACGCATGCGGGCACACCTACTTGGACCTTCGGTGGGGCCCCCTATGGAGCCGCGAAGCGTGTGAGGGGGTGTGCCGACATGGGTGTGCGGGACGCATGCGGGCACACCCGCTGGGGCGTTCGGTGGAGCCCCCAATGGGGCCGCGAAACGTGCGAGGGGTGATGAGAAATGGGTGTGCGGGGAGCATACGGGCACACCCACTGGGACCTTCGGTGGAGCCCCCTATGGGGCCACGAAACGTGTGAGGGGTGTGCCGAAGTGGGTGATGATGATGGTGATGAGGACGATGCTGATGATTATGATGATGATGGTGATGATGATGATGATGATAATGAGGGTGCCGATGCTGATGGTGATGATGGTGGTGGTCATACTGATGATGATGATGATGATGATGATGATGGTGATGGTGATGATGATGATGATGATGGGATGGGGGAGGTGGAGGGGGAGGAGGCAGCGGGGGGAAGGAGGGGCGCGGGGCGCTGTCTCTTCAAACCAAGGGCCAACACCACAGGACGGTTGGGAAACGCACAACATAACACAACACCCAGGTCAACTCAATATGGGTTCATTTCTGCGTCAATCAATTCCTTGGGCAGAACTCACTCCAGAAACAATTTGTTTTGCGACGGGGCATCCAGGAAATCCCCTGAGGGGCCCGCCAAATCTGGGACCCATTTTTTGCATCAGTAATTCCCAACAAAGGCCCGCCAACCCTGGGACCCTTGTTCGCGCCATAGACCCTCAGGGGGGCAGCCAAATCTGTGACCCTTGCCATGTTTTGCAGCAGTAAATCCCTCGGATTACAACAACTCCCCGTGGGATTTGCGCCGACGCAAGACCCGCTCTAGCCTAACGTGCCTATGTTGAACCAGTCGCGGTCTCATTTATGAGCAATACATATCGAACCCAAGAACTCGGGCCTTCCACCCCGACCAATCCCACGAGGCCCGAAGAGCCCCCCCCCCCGTGCCGCGCGATACTCCAACTGGCTCAGTGGGCCCCAGTGGACGCCCTCTGGCCCGCTAAAGGGAGGTCAAGAGGGCACGAAACAAACCCAAAGAGGCATGCCAACTGCGCCAGGGAATCCCGCGGAAACACGCACCAAGAAATGCGTGCAAGCGCGCGCGTGGCCTCGCAGGCACAACCCAGGCACGATGGCGGCATGGGCCGAAGGCTGCTAGATACACGCGCGCCTCCCTTGGTCGCTGTCGGCCGCAAAGCGGGGGGGGGGGGGCGGCCGAATACATGTCGAGCAATGGCCCCCCCTCGGACGACCCCGCCAGACACGCGGAAGCGCTGCGGCGCAGGCCCGACGAGCTCACCATTGAAACACTTGATGATGATGATGATGATGACGCGCCTTGAAAGGTCGGTTCTCCCAAAACACAAACCTGAGAAGCCACCAATACGCCAAATGCGTACGGTAGAGAAAGAGGGAAGGCGGGCAAGAAGCGGGAGAGGAACGGGCAGAACAAAGATGAATCCCAACCCAGGATTGAAACCCAAGATACTAAACGACATCATGAATGGAGACTGCCTGTCCAATACTGAAAGAAATCATGATTGAAACCCATGATACTGAATGAAATCGTGAATGATTGAAACCCATCCTAAAATGAACCCAGGATACTGAATGAATGAAAGAAAACCACCGCCAGGACCCTCTCGCTTTGAATAAAGGTGCGAGCAATGAGAAACGTAATGCAAGGTGATGGATTATGCTTAAATTGATCAAAATATCTTGAGTGACTTGAGTAACTCGAGTAACTTGAATAACTCTTGACGCCGAACTTGGGGGCATATGTTCCCACGACCAGAAGTAATTAAGAAGTGAAGAGAACTTTCTTTGAGTCCCTTGAAGCCCAATATACATAAGTGGCAACCCATTCGAATAAATGTGGTGAAAGAAAGAAAGCCTGACATTAAACTGAATGTCCCAAGCACGCAATGACCCAGAAGATACGGAGGCATACAAAGGAAACTGTAAAGCCGAGTGAGCCCAACCGTGAGAACCCACCCCAGGTGAATCAAGGCATATGAGGTAGTTGAATTCAAACATGTATGACGCGAGAGGGCTGTGAATGTTTATGGTTAGTATTTGCCAACTACCGACGTTGAGGAACATGCAAAGGAGATTGAAGGAGAACTGAGAGACCTCCAAAAGCCGCAGGCCCATGCACCGCAGATGCCAAGAGGTTCAGACTGTGGGAGTCCCAGGAGAGGTCTTCACGGATACTTCCAACGCCACTTTTCTACAAAGAAGTCTCCGTCCCACCAGTAGTCAGACAGGAACCAAACCACTGGGTGGGGCCAGCCAGATTCAGGGTCGAACCACGTATCATAGTACTCCGTGTACCAGACTTTGGTGTAGACCTTTTCCTCTTCACAGTAGTTCCACATTCCACCTGAGCCGTGAGTCCACTTGAGACGCTTCCTGGCTGCTAGCTTGGCTGGGAGGCTGCGTTTGACCATCCCCTGAATTGTATATGGATGTTCCCAGCCGTTTTGGACAAGAGTTCCGTCAGGGTTTGAGGCGAAACGGCTACTGACCAACAGCCAGTTCTTTCCCAAGGGATTCTCCGGACCCTTTCGTCAGGTCCCCTAACGTTTACATACAGTCTATTAAAGCCGCTGTCCCGACAAGCTTTGAAGAGCGGAATTTTGCACCAGTCATATGTGAGATGTGGACCACCAAGGTCCGAAGGTATAAGGAACCGAGCAGGCAACTTGACCGCCCTTTGGAATAGCAGCGTAGAGCAGTATGAGAGTGCTTCAAGGTCTTGTTTGGACAGGAAGCAGACTTGGCGTTTAGACCTGCAAAGCTTCCCCTGAAAGATAACGTGAGGGTCTGACGCCTTGGGAGGTAGCATACCGAAAGCTTGAGCCCGAGACTGCAGGGGAGCAACAGGAGGCAAAGGGCAAGAAAGGGCCCACCAGAGGCGGACAGAGGGAGGCGGGATTGTTGCGAAGCCACGGTGTCCCTGAGATCGCAGAGATCAGGCGGGTCCCAGATAGAATCGCACAAGTGACATCTCCTGGCGTCAGCCAATCCCGAAGGCGGGAGGCAAGGAGAGAGAGAGAACACAAAGAGGTCTTGAAACAGACCCAAATGTAAATTCCGTGGGGTGTCAAATACCCCCGCTCCATTAGTATTGGAGCCTGTTCTCTGAGGCTGCAATCAGATAAGATACCCATACCTCTGAGGATTCCGTCACATTAAATTTGTGCACTTGCATTCCGTGGAACATTGCCACGGCAAACTTCCGAGTGTGGGGAGCGCATGGGCCACGAAAAAGGCGGCGGTCTTTCCCGGTCCTAGCGAAAGACCCATGTTGATCAGCAAACGTCAAAATGGACCGAATGGAGCAGATGATGGGAGAAATCCCCTGAATGATGTTCCAGAACCGATCAGGCTCAACATACCCCGCTCCCAACCCTAACTCCATCAAATCTCCGATGAGCTCTAACCACCGAGAAGTGTCGGGTTCCCTGTTCCACCGTTCTCGGACCATCCTCTGTACATCGGTGGCGCGACCAGCGATTGATCGAAGCTCCTCAATGGACTTGGACGAAGCACTGGTAGGTTGTCTTCTTTGAAGATACCTGGCCATTTGGCCCCAAATGTTCCACCAGACGGTGTAAATGAAATTCCCAGGATCTGACCATCGATTGTCGTAGAACACGGCGCCCTTGTATGACATTGTCTTGATCTGTACAAAAGACATAGAGCGTACTGCAATTCCCACAATCCCAATAAGGTCTTTGCATGCCTTACTAGAGAAGAAGGCCTCAAAGAG